CAACAAATATGGGACTCAAAGCCTTGGACTCGTTGAGTGCCAAGGATGGACTCATCGAGTCGGTCATGCTCATCCACCTAATCTTTGATTTCTGATGTACAACCCTTGATCAAAAGATAGATCCAAGCCTCTATAATCGACCTAGCATGTAAAGTTACAAACTTTATGTGCTTGCATGGGACTTTGAGCTCAAAAGGTCCTAAAACAAGCTCTTGGATTGCATGGGGTCTTCCTTGGGTGGAAAAGCACCCACTTTCTGCCTTGTGACCCCTCAAAGGACCAAGATCCGAAGACTTGTCCCTAACCATGCTTGCATTCATGGTTGACTACATAAACTGGCTTATAAAAGCCCTAAATCTCCACAAAATGGGATCTAGCAATTGAACAAGCAAGTTAGCAACTTTATACCTTCTGAGGACTGAAGATGAAGCACAAACTCGAACCCCTCTGGCATCCTCTTGTTTCCTCAAGTTCTTCTCCTTCCTTCTTAGACCACCAACACCAAAATCCACCAAAATGACTTAGATTGCTTCAACAACGACTAGGGTTCTCTATAGAGGGTTTCTGGGAGCATAAGGGACGATGGAGGTTGTATAAGGTTGCTTAAGTAAGGTGCAAACCCTTAGATTAGGGTTTTTGTCCAGCGAGAGCCTACTCGTCGAGTCCGGGACCTGACTCGTCGAGTCCATCACTTAAGTCCCGTGTTCCGTCCCGCTTCTACTCGGCGAGTTGGTCCTTCAACTCGCCAAGTCCAAGGACAAAAATGTAAAACGCTTAGATAAAATAAAAAGAAATGTGTACCAAGAACTAGGTGTTGCAATTTAACTCCATAAGTTATGGATTACCAAAAGTTTTATGTTTCCTTGATTTATGAGTTAGTTAGATTAATGAAAAAAAATTGGGTTTTAGTTTTTTTCAATCCTAATTAATCTAGAGGTAGTTCATAAAATGGGTTTTTGTAACTTGTCATCAAGTTACATGAAAGGTCACATTTATGAATCTTAAAACTCATAAAAGTGTCATAGGTTACATAAAAAATGAAGAGTCTTTTTCATTAAATAGTAGTATGACTCCATAACTTCTTTAAAAGTGTTATTAAAGAATAATAGGTTACATAAAAAATGAAGAGTCTTCATTTTAATGAACCATTAACCTCATAATTATGAAATGAAAAGTTTTGAATAGTTTCAAAAACTTTCCCTCAAGTTTTGGAATTTGTAAAGTTTTCTCATGAATACTTTAATTCTAATTTAATCTCTTAGAATTTTAAAAGTTAAAATTGAACCCTTATACTTTATAAGTTAATAATATATATATATATATATATATATATATATATATATGTATAAGAGCAAGTCGTCTTACCATTAGTAGGCCTTATTCACGAAGCCGATCTATAGAATTTTATAAGTTAATAATATTTATATATATATGTATAAAAGCAAGTTGTCTTACCATTAGTAGGTTTCATTCACGAAGCCGGTCTATAAGGTGGGTATAAGGTTACTGCCTATAAAATGGAAGTTTAATGGGTGTCTACTCTCACCCACCGTTTCCTTAACTGGTGGAGGGTCGTTAGCTGAACAGGCAGGACAAGGACTATAATTCTCCCTTCATTAAAAGTAATAATGATAAATATAAAGTAACTAAATATTTTTTTATAATTGCGAATCTTAGTTACTTTAGGAAAATGTGAATAAGGTGCTTATCCATGAAATTACACTTTGCACTTTGTTTAAGCCGTTAGTTGAGCGTGTGTGGTTAACCGGCACACTAACCTGGAGTTAACAAGGTAGGCAAAGGGTAACTTAATGTTTATCATAGTATCGATGGAGCGTGTGTGGTTAACCGACACATCGATTGAGGGGTAAATATTAAGGGTACCAAGTGATTTGCATGGTTACTTCACACCTGGTTTTGTCATCCTCGACATCCTAGTCACAAAACCTGAAGGGCACACTCGAGATTGAAACATGCCATTGAAAAGTTCAATGAATCTCAAAAGATCTAGGAGTTTCAAATCCAATTAAAAACCTAATAAATTATTTCGTTTTTCATGGTGGAAATTGGTGAATCGTCATTCACCTACCTTCAAATATTCTATAGATTGGATTACAGCATCCCTCTTCCAAGTTATAAAATATTGTGTTGGGTTCTAGACTTAATATTTCATATTGGGTGTTATATTAAGGACTTTAGATCAACTATCTTGAATATCTCCCAAAAGATGTCCAGTTCAGACATCTATGATCTTCCCAAATCTCTTGGAACTTCACCTCCTCCACCTCTTCCAATTATCCTCCCTTACCCACAACTTCAAGGTCACTCAAGCCCTATTGACAAGAAAGGTCTATGTGTGATCGCATCTTGGAGATGAAGGCACATATTGACAATCCGGGAGAGTTGGGTGTCAAAGTCTTAATAAAGTTGAGTGTTCAATCACTTTCTAAGTCACATAGTGAGTTCCTTTGGGACTACTATGAAATAGACTATGACATGACCCTTAATGATCTTATCTATTTGTTTGGTACTGCTGAATCATCAATGATTTGAAGCTTTGGTAAAGCAAATTTGATTAGTAGATCAACTTTCCAAACCTTCAATGGACATTGACAATGATTGCATTGGATACCCAGTAAAAGCTTTCTCTTCCCAATGGAAAAGGGTTGGCCATAGTCAACTCGGTTAACCAAATGGTAAAGAGAAAGGCTAAGTCTGAGATTGTCCCATGTATCAAAGGGTCCATATGGTTCTATTTCCAAAAGGAAAGGGCATTGGCTGCGAAGCTGCCAAATTTACCTGAAAGATCATAAGGCTGGTAAAGTCAATAAGTATGACTCTACTTCAGGCAAAGTCCACTATCTAACTCGATTAAGTTTCTATTCTGAGATTCTTATTACATGATGTGACTGGATCACATGTTGATGTTTTAAGAATCAGAGGAAAAGTGAAGGAAACATAAATAAAGAGTATGCTAAATCTGATCGCGAAGATGGATTTCTATCGCTTGATTGAAGATAGGATTCTTGAGCTACTCTTAGGGAGTTATGATAGATTTCTAGGAAACATGTAGTAGCATAGTTTTCATTCAAAGTTGCATTGTAAGGAAAAGTTTTTCCGCAAAGTTTTAAAATAAAAGGAAAATTTTTGTTTTTATTTATTTTAAAAATTATCCTTACAATGGCATTTGTGAAAAAATTATTGCTTATATGATTCCATTAATAGCAAGAGTGGAAATATGAATTTGATTCTTTCATTTATGGTAGTGTCTAAATTTACAAAATAAGAAAAGCTTCTCATCATCCAAGTTTTCAGTTGGATAGAAACTTGGAATCATACAAGTTGTACAATATGATGAATGAGAACTTTCATCTTTGGAAAATTAAGACTAGTTCCTTGTTCACATTTATATGTGAGTCAAGTGAAGGACTAAGAGATCGAGTACACATTCTTGTGCACTGATCAAGTCCACCACAAAAGATCTATAAGACTATTCGTCATGATTTACTAAAGTCTAGTAAATATGGTTACAGTTACAAGTTTAAGTGTAATTCTGATACATTGGAAAATTTTCGATGTATGGCAGGACGAATGAGAAGAATCAAATTAGGTAGAAGGATAAAAGATTCTCAAATATGAAAAAATGGGAGAGTACTTTAGTATCATTTCATATGATGATCTTAATGATTAAGAGATCTTATCACAATTCATCCTCTAAGTGCATTCTGATAGCTAAGAAGAGGAGCTATGAATTGTTGAAGTGGTCAAATTAAGAAGATGATCCGTACATCGTTCCAAAAACAATTCTTAGATTCATACTCCAAGATTGTAACTTGAGTGAAATATCTTAAAGGAAGGTTTCTTAACACTAGTCAAATGTAAGAGTAAAAGTATCCTACTCTTGTACATTTGAAATTGGTAAGTTGTGATGTTTTGGATAAAACAAAGACCAACTAAGACCAATTGTGTGAAGCGTTTGTCTTGATAAAGAATCCAAGCTATCTCTTGAATATTTTGCAAGATAGTCTTATATGTCAATAGGACAGTGAGAGTCTTAAAGATCCTGAAAATAACTTCAAGATCTAATCAAGAATAAAAACATATAGTTTAACACTAGCACACGACGTGAGGTTTATAACCTATCGTGCTGACATATTTCTATTTCTATGCCCATTCCAGTTAAAGTTGGCTTTGCATATGAGTCTTAGAGTTCTCAATTGGTTGCATAACAACTTGGAAGCAATGGAAGGCCCTTGAGCTGCCAGGTGGAAAGAAATTAAGATTGAGTTCAGTCCATATGTGTTTGGATTTGTCATTATTCTTGTCTTATGACTATGGTTTTGACAATTCACATGGATAAGAAAACATACACCATAAAATCTAAGGGTCATAAGGTTTCTCTCTGATTCATGAAAATGATGGTGAGGAAACACTTCCACCAAGTAGATTTGAAGCAGATAGCAAAGGTCTAAACAATTGAGACTATGATTACAACATCCCTTTTCATAGTTCTGAAATTGTCTAGACACACATATGTGCTATCTAAGGAAAGGTGTATGATTTTGATAAAGTCTTATCAAGGCAATCTCGTCTCAGAAATCTAAACTTATGTATGAATGTCAATACAATATTGATTTCTAGAAGTCCAACCGATTTCTGAGTACATGTTAAAGCTAGTGGGAGCATGAGTGTATTGCTAATAATCATCATGTTAGTGGGAGTATGATAATTATGATAAAGGTTGTAAGTTAGCAATGTTAATTATAGAAAACAAAAGTTTCAATTTGTAGAGTTGCAGAGGTTGGAAAGACATTGAACATGAAAAATTCTTGATGAGTATTGAGTACCTCATTTTTAGCATGAAGTCGAGCTGTTGTAAGAACTCCATCTTGAGGACCACCAAGAACTTGTTCCTTTGGATGATTTCTTGTCCATTTTTCCAATGGTGGATATGCTGGATCAAAATCCAATGGCGCATCTTCGAACATTTCATCATTCTTTTAACCTGCAACAAAAATATTATCATTTAAATCATGAAAAGTTTCATTTTGATTATTATTCGACATATTAAGGTTCCCCTCGACATTTTCATTTTCAGGTTGCTCCTCCTCAACATTATCATTCATTCTCCTATTCTCCCTCTCGAAAGAATGCTCCCCCTTAACATGAGAATTCAAATGCAAGTGCTCCCACTCTACTTTTTCATTTGGCATACTTTCGCTATAACCAGGAGAATGAGATGTCAAGTTTAAATCAACAACATCCTGAGTAAGTGTCGAAAAGTCAGAATGCTTTGATGATTCAGGAAGTTGATTATCCTCAACATTGACTTCAGCATCAGCAGCCCTATCTAGAACACCAAAAATTAAATCATAATCAAAATTAGACGAATTAATACTTTTAGATTCTTCTTTTGATTCATTAATAATTGGTTTTTGTTCAAAACACTTTTCAACTTGTTTGATATAATAATCGTCGAAAGTTAGATCGAATGTTTCTTCAATTTTTCGAGTTCGTCTTTTCAATACTCGATATGCAACCGAATTATGAGAATAACCCAAGAAAATTCCTTCGTCAGCTTTGGACTAAAATTTCGAAAGATTATCATTGAGATTCATGATAAAACACCTACAACCAAAAACATTAAAGAATTTGACATTAGGTTTTTGGTTATTGATAATTTCATAAGGAGTAATGTTGAATCTTTGATGAATAAATGATCTATTCTGTGTAAAACATTCAGTAGAGACTGCTTCAGCCCAAAGATATTGAGGAAGGTTCGCATATGTAAGCATTGTTCTTGCCGCTTCACAAAGAGAACGATTTTGCCTTTCAACAACACCATTCTAATGAGGTGTGTAAGGAGAAGAAAAATTATGCTAAATTCCCTTGTCTGTTAAGAATGAATCAAGAACATTGTTCTTAAATTCAGAGTCGTTATCACTTTTAATCTTTTGAACCTTCTTCTTTAAACTTGTTTCAATATTTTTGATGAAATCGATCATTGTTTAAGCTACTTCAGATTTTAACCTGAGAAAATAAACCCAAGTAAATCAAGAAAAATCATCAACAATAACCAAAATATACCATTTCTTATTGAGAGTTTCAACAATCGATAGTCCACAAAGATCAGTATGAAGAAGTTCCAATGGTTCAACAAATTTCGAATCGATGACTATTGTATGTCCTTGGCGATATTGTTTCTCTGGTTCGCAAGCTGCACATAAAGTATAATTATCAAATTTTAAGATAGTTAAGCCTCGGACAAGATCATTTACCACTAGTTTATTAAGATTTCGAAAGTTCAAATGTGAAAGTCGACGATGTCAGAGCCAGCTAATATCAGATGAAGCTTTCGATAGTAAGCACACCGAAGGAATTCCAACTATTGGTTTGATGTCGAGATTGAACATATCTCCATGTTGTTTGGATTTGAGTAAAACTTCGTTTGTGTTGACATTCAAAATTATACTTCCTTCTTCATTAAACACCATTTGATTGTCGGTGCCCACAACAAGTTGCGAAACACTTATCAAGTTATGTTGAAGACCTTCAACATAAGCGACATGATTAACAGTGAATTTCCCATTTGTCACCTTACCATATCCTTTAACTTGACACCATTGATTGTTGCCAAACTTTACAACTCCTGCATTCTCCAAACTTCGAAAATCACGCAAATTTTCTTTCCTTCCAGTCGTGTGACGAGACCAACCACTATCGATATACCATTTTTTATCATATTGCCCATCACATAAAACTTGCAATCAGTGAAAGAATTTAGGTACCCAAGGCTATTTAGGTCCTTTGTGATTAGTTTGAAACACATTATGAAATGAAGATCCTAAAATCCAATTACGAACTTTTGATTTGACACTATCAATTAAGTCCACATCATTTGGTAAAGGCTAAAATATATAACATTTCAAAAGTTTAGGACTTTCACTGACTTTCACATTTTTCTTCTCAGATTGGGTATTTGTTGTCTTTTCTTTCGAAACAAGATGTCATGCCTTAACTGAAGATGTCAAATCTTTTGATGATGAACTGACATTCGACATTTTGCTTAAATATTTCTCATAAGCATTTTTGATTTGTTGTTGAGAGAATTTTCCTGTTTGATAAGATTTCCCTTTACCTTCAAGCCAATGATCAATGTTTTGCATATTTGATCGACCCTTGATATACGAAACTTTGGATCTTTGTGTCGTAGGAGGATTATGAAAATTTGATTTTTGAGGTGTGAATTTGACATTTCGTTTTGAATAAATTTATCAAAGTTTTTATTTTCAACCTTTGACTCAAAACGTTTTTGTGTAAGACTTTGATGTTGAAAAGATGGTGAGTTGTTCTATGATTGAAATGATTTTGAATTTGAAAACTTCTTTTCATGGGATGTTTGACTATGATTTTGTGACAAAAACTTTGTTTCTTGATTTTTGGTTTACGAAAAATCATTTTGTGAAGTTGATTGAGACAAATGCTTTTTGGATAGAGCGGGATTTTTCTTATTAACTGAACTTGATGTAGATATTGTCTTAACTTTTTTAGACATTGTCTTTTTAGTCTTTTTCTTTTTCAAATCATTTTGTTTCATTCGAGACTCAACAATTTGCCAAAAGACTTTCTTTCGTGCCTGTCTCTTTGAAATTCCATTTTCTTTCGAAATATTGTCAATTTGATCTTTAAATTCTTGTGAATTTATTTTCACACTTTGTAACACAACTTCAAATTGTTTTTGATCTTCTTTCGAATTTTTTGATTTTTCTACGCATGTTCTTTGAGGTTTTTGTCTTTAAAAAGTATATGCATTCTTTGTTAGATTATTTTCGACAATACTTTGATTCGAGAAAAAACCTTCATTTAATGTTTGCTTATTATCTTCTTCTACCAATTTGTTAAATTTAGGTTTGATGTTATCAACATTCCCAGTAGTAACAAACACTTGATTTGGAAAGATGACATCATCTGTGCATTTGAAATTTGGAAACACAACCGTATTTGTTTCGAGATATTGAGCACCTTTTTCTTTCAACAATTTGTCAAAATTTTCTATTTCACCATACACCTGATCAACAACAACTCTTGGAATTTCATTTACTTTCAAAACATCATTTGTTGTGGTTGTTTCTTTCGAAATTTCATCATCATCCTTCTTATCATCACTACTGTCAGTTTGACTATCTCTCGCACTTACATGATCGAAATCACAAACTTTCGAAGTTGAGGCTTGATCAGTGTCACTCTTAACCAACGAATCATTATATTCTTCATTTCCTTTAGTCAAAGATGTTACATTATTGATAGACAACTAAGAACAATCGATAGATTCTTCTTCCTCAATTTCACTAATTTCGCTAACATTATCAGAATTATCTTCGATATAAGAAAATTATAGTGAGAGTTAGATTTCGAATTCTTAGTTCTTTTTAAAATCTTTATTTGTTCATTCTTGGTTACACTACTAGAAAAACAGCCTTTTACGACGCTCATTGCACGTCGTAAAACACTCAGACGATGCGCAAATGCGCGTCAAGGAAGACCCTGTCATAAAGAGAGACGACGCGCATTTACGATGCACAATTACGACGCGCGTTTACGACACGCAATGCGTATCAAGGAAGGCCTTGTCATAAAGGAAGACGACACGCATTCGCGTGTCGTAACCTTACGACGCGCGTGTTAATGACACGCAATGCGTATCAAGAAAGCCCTTGTCAAGAAAGGCCATGTCATAAATGAAGATGACACACATTTTTGCGTATCATAATTTTATATGTTTAAAAAAAATATTATTTATAGATTTATTAATTTTTAAATTAAATTTTCATTTAATGTCTCTTAATAAATAAAATATCATATACAAAAATGCAACCCATTGCACAAAATATAATGTCATACAAATAATCGTTCCATAGAAAGATAAAACAAATCAATAAAAGTTGTAACGGAAATTTACAAACTAATTAGATACAAGAAATATGAAAAACTTAAAATCTCTAAGATTAATAAGTCTAACAGAAGCTTCACGTGAGATACATACAGTTGGACCAGTAAGCAAGGATGTTCCCGAATCCACAATAGCAGCAGAAGAACACGTACACGATATCTTTTGCCAGAAGGTGCCGATCCCAAACTATTGTTGAAGGTTGCCATGATAGCTGTTAAGATTTAAGCATAACAAGAAACCAATCAGTGACTATAATAAGCTAGAAAACAAGCAACTAATAAACAAAATAAGCAACTAATTAAGTCAAACTATGACTATGTATTGTTCATACAAGAAAAAGAAGGAAAAAAATGTTGATTTACTGTTGTTCATACAACACTCTCCAGACAACACTTAATTGAAGAAAAGAATAAGGCTAAACTTACAAAGAAAAAGAATTCAGGAAGAAGACAAATTTGAAAGCATACAGAATAACGTTTAGCCAAGCAAGTGTGATCTACCTGTAAAGTTGAAAACGCAAAATTCTAAGTAAATGACCTAAATACCCTCAAAATCATAAATCATAATAACAAGTAACAGACCTTGTAGGAGGCAATGCAGAGGTCTGGCCAGATGGGTTTACCTGGCAAAAATGTTGGAGCACCAGGGAAATTCTGATCACATGGATCCCAATGACCACCATCTTATCATTCAACCAAGCTAAGAGAAAGCTATCAACCCCTACCATATATATATATATATATATATATATATATATATATATATATATATATATATATATTAATTGAAAAACTTGTAGTGTTTCTGTTTCATCATGTATTAAAATAGCATGAACGGTTGTACCTCTCCATCAGGTGAGAAGCTCAAAACAGAATTTGTTGTATTCCCATGCATATAATATTAACCAACAACTATAACACATGCATATAGTATTACAAATTACAACATTACCCCTTACAAATTGCAGAAAAAACATTGATATGATAGTGTGTAATTAGATTAAAGATTATAAGAAGATAATAAAGTAAACCTTGAGTTGATGGATTTGGGATCTTAGTTGACTTCTTTCAATGCTGGTCAACGAACATGAAAGCACCGGTTTTTTTAACTCCACATGCTCTCCCCAATTCTTCTTTTGAAGGAACAAAAATATTAGAAACATACCTTATATTTAGTAAGGAATGGAATATGGGAAATCATTTCAAAATCTTCAGTGTCTGCAGCCATCACTACAAATTCAGAAAACCCCTATTCAGGTCCCTTGTAACTGTTTAAAAAAAAAAGAAAAAAAATAGAAGTTAGAACCAACATTAAGAACAAAATATCAAAAATAAATATCAAAACAAGTCAGAATAATATTCACAAAGTTGATAAACTTTGGTTAAGAAAAAGAACGAGAAACATAGCTAATTTAGTTAGGCATTGAAACAAACCTGAATAATATCAAGCATTATGCAACTCTGGGAAAAGATAAGAACTTTATGGCCTTCCGAAATAAGATTACCCTGTAATTGAATAAAAAAATCACATTGTAAATTTGTACCTGATGTTATGAAACACACATTCAACTGATTAAGATTTTCACTGCTGTTATGAAAAATCTACATTTGTACCTGATGTTATGAAAAATCACATTGTACATTTGGATGACCTAGAAGCAAAAGTTTTAACTTTATGCAGAACCATGAACTATATAACAGTGTATGGCATGACCAAGAGAAATTTTATGCTGCAAATCCTTTAAGGATGGTTGGCAAATCATTATCAGACCGACTTCCAGCAGCAGCAGCTGGCAAGGAGCTCATTGATTTCTTCTAGTAATGGGCATTGGAGTGAAGGTGAGAATGGAAATAATGATATAAGACTACTGTGACCAAGGGTATGATTGTCATTTTCTAACACAACATACCATTTTCTGTTTTCACCTGGAATTAATTTTCACAAAATAAAAAAAAAAACATATAAGGTTTTCTCAAGTATCAAGTATAAAAAATAAAAACCAATTTCCACTAATCTCGATTGATGTTACTGCTATTCAGAAAAAATAAAATCAGAAATTAGAAGAGAAAGAATGACGGTAAGCTTTCATTAGAAATTGAACAATTGTATTCAAACATTTCAACAAACATCTAACAACCATGTTAAAGAATCATGTTTTGATAGTCAAATTGATTCACAACTCCATTGTTAATAGATTTAGTTTTCATATGGAAAACAGATCAACAATTGATAATAGAACAACAATGAAGAACCATAAGGTCCCAATTCAACAATCGATATTATCAAATAAGGGTTTTAATTGAGATGTCTGCTTCTAAAGATTGGTTACAAGAAGTTCAAGTGTATTCTTCTGATTTAACTACAGGTGAAAGGATTATTTCTAAATGTAAAATTGAATATGCTTGGAATCCTTCTAAGTGTTCTCACTGTAAAGTTTATGGTCATAAGGATATAAATTGTGGAATTTTAATTGCTAAACAAATGAAAGAAGAAGAGGAGAGAAGTAAAATAGAGAAAGGAAAAGAAGGAGCTACTGTGGATCTTATGCAAGTGCTTCTTGCCAGCACTAAAGAAGTTAAGGAACAAAATGATGGGTTTGTTGATGTGGTGAAGAAAACCAAAGGAAATAGTGGAAATTTTTTTTCAAAAGAAGCTACAAGGGGAAAAACAGTTTTCGAGTCAGGGGCATCAAGGGAATTTCTCGAAAAATGAAGGTTCAGGGGTTTTTACTGGAAACCGCAAGCAGGGGCAAAAAGGGAATTATCCGAAAATTGGAAATTCTGGGGCTTCTGCTGGAATTCGCTATCAGGGGTATAATGGGAATAATCAGGAAAATTTGGAATTTAGTTTTGATAGAGGTGGGAAGACAGGAGGTAAAAATGGGCAGGGATATTATGGGAATATTCAGCCAATGAAAGGAAAGTCTAATGATTCAAAGATTGAACAGGGGTAAAGTTGGAAAAGTAACAAGGTTATGGGAAAGAACAAGGATGGGGGTGATGTTTCGGAAGTCAAAGGGTTTGTGGGGAATAATTCTATGATTCGGCCTGACCAGGAAGCTAAAAAATCAGAAGCAGGGGTGAATTTTAATGGTAGCAAGCAGGGCTATATTCCGAAATCTGGGCTTTTAAAATTTCTTCTAATTTTGATTTGGTTAATCATTCTATGAAGGGTCATGATGCTGAGAATTTTTTGTCTACCAATAAATTTGAAACTTTAAAGGATTTGGAAGATGAGAATAAATTTGTTTTTCTCAAAAGGAGGTGTTGATGAGGATGATCTTGCTTATTTGGATTCTGTGAATCAGATGGATGTCATTGGTAGTGTCCCTGTGTTTGACACTAAAATGGAAGCTGGTCCTAATGATATTTAATCTTGGAGTTTGGTACTTTAGGGGGTTTGTTCTTTCTCCTATGATTAAAGGTCTAAAAATCGGTTTTAAGATGTATATGCTGTGTGTTTTAGCCATTCATATTTCGTTGGCTTGGTGGAAGATAAAGAGGTTATTAAAGAGAGAAGATTTTGATACTTCTTTGAGATGGGATTTTTTTGAGATTGTCCTCTTTGATCTCTTCTTTTTGAGCTATGTTTGGTTTCATGTTGCTCAGTGAAATTGGATTTGGAAGTGGATATGTTGGCATCCCTTAGATAGATTGTTGTTTTTTTTAATTTGTTTCTTTGTTTAGCTTAGCTTTGTTAGTTTGTTTCTCGTAGTTAGCTGTTTTTGGGCGGTTGCCCTCTTCTTATTGTAATTTTTTCCTTTTTTTTAATAAAATTTGCCAAGGGGTTCTTTACCCCTTTTATCCAAAAAAAAAAAAAATACACTCACAATCAAGTACAACATCAAGAAAAATCTTACCATACTAGTTACCAATTCAAATATAAAACTGATATGGAACATCGAATTGGAAGGATTGAGACAAAATTAGCGATCAATACGAACTGAAAAACAAATTTAGCGAATCACTTTGTTCTTCCATTTCTGTCGAGGCAATGCTTAGGGCAAAACCAGAATAATTGAATTCTACAAACATGAATATTACCGGAATAGGCTTGATTTCAAAATCGATATTATGGCTTGCTTTTAAAATCAATTTCATTAATTTTATATAAGAAGGGTACAAATGACCTAATTTTATATAAGAACTCTAGAACTGATACGTACCTTTCTCTTTGATAATTTCTTTTAAGATGACTATTGTTTAGGGCTATCAACAACACCGTCATCTCCGCTACCATAGTGTAATAAACAAAGCACCATTGAAGGCCCTTCATCATCTTCCGCTGCCATTACTTCCTTGAGTGAAAATTTCGAACTCGATGGGAGAGGAAATGAGTCGCCAATAAGAAATCTGAAATCATAAAATAAGATGGGAAGAAATCTGTGAAAAGAGTTGAAGTCGTTTGAGATACCAATGTAAATCCTTAGAAATCTCAATCGAGAAGAGAATGGAGAGACGCTTCTTTTTTTTGCGCTGAATCGTTTCACCACCTGTCGATCACCACGGAAACAGGAGAACTGGAAGCTTAAAATAAAATAAAACCCTACACATATTTGTACTCTTCAATCATCGGATCTAGGGCAGAAGTAGATGGACGATGGGAAGTAGAGCAGATGTGAAAATAACCCCCAATCGCTAGTAGGATCTGGAATCGTTAGCTTGTGAAAATTTTGTGAGGCAGTGAATGTGGGTGAGAGGTGGAGACGATGTAGGGTAGATATGAGAGTCATATGGAAATGAATGTAAGAGAAGAAGGCGGGTGTTTAAAAAATTTGGGGATTTCATTTTCCCTCTTAGAGACGCGCGTTTCTTAAAAAAATATAAAACGACATTCACAGAGGACGCACGAGTGCCCTCCGTGTTTTTAATTTTTTTTACATGAGACACTATTTAAGGGCACGCAATAATGCGTGACCAAAATCCTTAAATTTTTTGAATAGACGACACTCTTTTAATGTCACTCTCCTTTGCGTAACATAAATCACCGAGTGTCGTGGTTTGCACGTCGTAAAAGGGTCTTTTTCTTGTAGTGTTAAGGTTTCATTCACAATGTCAACTAATTCATTAGCATCCAAATATTCATCTATTTTCACAATTCCATACGCAAACCTATTATCAGGAACTCTATCAAACTCAGATATTGTCTTTTCACAATCATAGGACACACAATCAATCTTTTCTCTTTCAAAAACTAAGAATGGTAATAACTTCCTATGTTGTTCTTTGCTTATGTCAGAAGAGTGATGGAGAGCGGTCAACTTTGCATATAATCTCTTGGCTGAATTACAATAAATATTTCGTTGTGCTAACAACATTCGAACATCATTATTCAAATTGTCCCTATCAACCATGAGATCAATTATTTGTAATTCTAGATATACTACTTTTATTTTCTTCGAATCCAATTGCTTCTGTGTCTCTAGTAATTGTGTACTAGATTTCTTAGCCTCATTGCTAGTAGAGATAACCAAATTATCAAAATAAGAAACAATATCATCAAAAGCAGTTAATTCAGAATCATAAGCATTCAAAGGAATATTAAAAGATTGAAGTATAGAACGTATTTGTCTCCACTTTTTGTCATAAAGCAACGACAAGTTATGTTCTCTTCATCTTCTTCCTCGAACTTTGTATACATTGCACCATGCATAGGATTACACATTTCTTCATCATCTGATCCTGACGACTAGATTTGATACGTCCCATCTTCATCCCCTTCTCCTCTCACCACCAATGACAAACCTTTCTCTTTTGCTCTCACCTCTTCCATACGTTCGACATAGTAACCTTTGTCTTTGATATTATTCTTCTTTTCCTCTTTCTTTCGAAGAATACAATCATTTTCCATGTGATTTGGGCCATGACAATAGTGACGGTCGACACTAGAGTCACCTTTGAGCTTCTTTTCGACTTTCATGTCTTCAGACTTTGAATCTTTCTTCTCGAACTTCTTCTCCTCCTTCACTTTTCCAACAAAACTCACTTTTGCCTCACCAACTCTTAGTTTCGAACCAAAAGGCTTTTTATAACATTTCTTCACTTTGTTGTTTGAGTAAAAAGCAATGGCTTCGTCATCTGAGTTAACAATTAAGCCTTCATCTTCAGAACTGTCTTTTTCAGTAGCTTCTTTCTCAGATACTTTCGAGACTAAAGAAAGTGGTCCTCCCAAATTTATTTTCGATTCTTTGTCCATTTTAATTACTTCTGGCTCATGAGTTTTCAACAAATTGTAAAGATCATTCAAAGTTGATGTATCAAAGCTCTGTTGAGTCTTCACGATTAGACTAACATTTCACCATTCTTTTTGTAGTCCCATAACAAAAGTGAGATTAAACTCCATGGTTGACCTGGTTATTCCATTGCAATTGCATTTGTAGATGAGTTTATTCAAGCGATTATAGTAGAGTTCAATAGATTCACCTTTCTTTTGTTTGAACTCTTTCAATTCCACAAAACAATGCTTCATAGAATTGATTTTTGTCTTTTCACTCCCTTGAAACTTCTCTTTGAGAGTATTCCAGATCTCTTTTGCAGATTTACAACTACGAACATAGTTATAAACAACAGGAGGAAGAGCACCACGAAGCTCTTTGATACACCTCTTTTCATTCTTCTTCAGTCTTGTAGTTTGATCAGAGACACTTTGAGTTGAAGCAGATGAACCAATATTTTGAACATTCGTTGGAGGAAGAACATTTCCAGTAATACAATCCCAAATCTCTTCATCCACTCCATTCAAGTAGTCTTCCATGCGATCAGCCCATTGATCATAATACTCTGGAATAAGTATAAGAATCTTTGTTGAAGATCCTAGCAAATGAGAAAAAGATATCATCGTATTTATATTGAAATTCGCCATTGATGTACGGACGAATTTGCAGAAAAACTTCAGAAATTTGAGAATTAGTGGATGAATTGATCAGAAAAAGCAAGCAGAACACTCGATTAAACAAGCTAGTTGCAGAATCGAATCACAACTGAAGATCAAAGATGATTTTCAGTATCAAAAGTTTTGAAACTTTTGAATCCAAGACGAGACTCAAAATACGATTGATACAAGATGAAAATCTGATTATTGCTGTATGATTCCTGCTCTGATACCAATTGTAGAAGCTATTTAATCGAGTACTGAAACGAGATCATAAATGAAATGAATTAAGAACACACAAAGTAAATATAATCTGATTTCAACTCTATTATGCTTTCAAGATACAAAGAGTATTCAGATAGAAGAGTTGCAAAAATTATATCTATCTTATGTATCCTTCCCTATTTATAGGAAAAATAGAAATCACACAAAAAATACAAAGGGCTAAAACATTACAGCTTCGAAATAACTATGTCTTTGTAATAACATTACATCACTATCGAATACAAAATAACCTTCGACACCTGACAACACACATTGATACTTACATCCCCTACTATCTTCAAGTATGTAGTAGAGATGTTAAAAAAACTAAAATAACGAAAAAAAAAGAAAAAAAATAACTTATAAAAAAACGAAAAAAATATAAAAAAGGAAAATAAAAATATTAAAACAACAACAAAAAAATTAAAAACGTTAAAATCGAGCATATATCTATTAAAAAAATTTTATTTTTTTTTAACGAAAAATAATAATAAAAAAACCAAAATAAATGGAAAAGAAAAGAAAAACTCATTTAAATGATTTTTTATTGACGTTCGTCGCACATGATTATTCCCTCGAGTCTGTATTACGTTCAATGCATGTGTGCCACGCGCAAACGCGCCACGACCAAGTAAATGGATTTGATTTTTATGCTCTTGACGAAATGATCAGTGGAGAATAGTATTCGCGGTTCCTACCAAATTTTTGGGTTTCTACCGGATCCGTACTATATATATATATATATATATATATATATATATATATATATATATATATATATATATATATATATATATATATATATATATATATATATATATATTATCCGAAGATTTGAATTGAATTATTTGTTATTTGTTTTATATTATTTAAAATTCGGGGAGAAAAAAGATTTTTCTTATAAAACTTTTTATAGGTATCATACATTGAATCATTCACATCAAAAGAATTATTTATTTTCTTTTATTTTGACAAAATTGCAAAATTGATTCACATGGTTTACCAAAAACTATGGATAAGATCAAAAAAATTCAACTTGTACGGAAAGTCTATCTTACACTTTTAATTTCTTCTTCATTTTTTAATATAAATATAACTATTTTATAATTATAATAAAAAAGAAAAGCAAAAGGACAGATCCACCCCACTCCAACCCCCACCGGTACCCTACCATGTCTCTCTTTACTCCTTTTTCCGACTATCACTAGGAAGTGTTCTTCAAGCCTCATATCGTATTCT